GGACTCGATGATCTGGAAGGTCTCCTCCAGCCTCGTGATTCTGTGAATTCTGAGTTCTGTGAATTCTGTGAATTCTGTGGATCAGAGTCCAACTCCTGGCCCTGCACAGACACCCCAACAATCCCACCCTGTGCCTGGAAGCATTGTCCAAACACTCCTGGAGCTCTGACAGCCTCGGGGCTGTGCCCATTCCCTGGGGAGGCTGGTTAGTGCCAGCCCTTCTGCATAAAGAATTCTTCCCTAATATCCAACCTAAACCTCCCCTGGCACAGCTCCAGCCTTTCCCTGGGCCCTGTCCCTGTTCAGCAAAGAGGGAGCAAAGCCCATTTCATGTGTGGACTCAGCAAAAGTGGCTGATCCCTGATGCAGTTTTTCCCATCCTGGGAACACCAATCAATGTAATTGAGCTGTTGGAATGAGTCCAAGATGATCAGAGGGATGGAGCAGCTCTCCTGCAAGGAAAGTCTGGGAGAACTGGGATTGTTCAGCCTGGAAGAGACTTCAGGGTGACTTTATTGCAGCCTCCAGTGCCTGAAGGGAGCCTACAAAAAGCATGGAGAAAGACTATTTACAAGGGTCTGGAATGACAAGGAAGGTTTTCCCATGCAGATCATTCCCCTGCTCTGGTTTAGACTCTTGCTGCTACAAAATCCACGTGCAAAAAGATTTGTCAGCACCTGTAGTGGAGAACAGGACAGCACTGGTCTCCAGGACTGACAAACTCAGCCTTGCTGGGGCAGAGCAAGAGTTTTGACCAAAATAAAGGATTTTTTCCTCATTTTTAAACATTCCACTGCCACACAGGAGCGCTGGAGGTCGGAGGCTGAGATACACACACAGAGAACACTGCTCAGCTGCTAAATCCCACAGGCCAGAGGCACCTTCTGGCTCAGGATGTCCCTCCACAGCATTGCTGGAAACTGGGAGGATGCACCTGGAGCAGAATTGCCCAAAAATCACTGCAGATCCAGGACCTCTGCTCTGAGCCTCAGTGGAGAAAGCTGGGCTGACCCCATGTGGTCATGGCCTTGTTATGGCATGGTTTTGGTTTTAGAAAGCATCGACTCTCCACTCTCACTCACACAAAGTGTAAAATCTACCTCAAATCCATGCAATCTTTCCATCCAGGAAAAGGCACTGTGGTGGGAGTTAAGCTAAACCTCTGTGTGTCACTTTTCACACCATGGAAATGTCTCCACACTCCCAGTGTTCGACCAGGCAAAGCAGCAGAATAAAATATTCATCTTTAGCATGGATGGGACATTCCCACTCCTCTGAACCCCTCAAAACAAACAATAAGGGATAGGAGGGGAAATTCACACCAGTTTGTGCCTTTCCCTCACAATAAAAGGTTAAATATTGCAGTGGTTCATCTGGCTGCAATCTGGGAACTTCGCCCCCAGATTTTGGGTGTGCCTGGACCGAGGAAGGTCGGTGTGTGTCATCTGGTCACTCTGGGCCTGAAGAAGTCAAAAAATAAGGAATGTTGATTGTTTCCATGGTCACAGAATGATTCATTCTGATGGTAAAATAACAGAGGAGACACATGGAAAATGAGAATCATGTCTCAGAAGTGTTTAGTGCAATTATTGCGTGCAGGCTACGTGCATGCCCTGACCTCAGCTATCCGTAAAACTGTCTCTTGAGATAATCCCAAAGTTGGGTTTTTTTGGATTGAAAAGGAATTGAAACCCTTACTCGTGAAGTCTGTCAGCCTTGGAGGCCGAACAAGGCTCGTCCCAGCACAGGTTTTGTCCAAACAGAGCAATGGAGCCTCCAAAAAGAAAAAAATCCCAGAGATAAAAATTATCAAAGTGAGAGCCTGGAGGGACAGGATAATGGCTTTAAATTGGAAGAGGGGGGGTTTATATGGGAAATTAGGGAGGAATTTTTCCCTGTGAGGGTGATGAAGCACAGGGTGCCCAGAGAAGCTGTGGCTGCCCCTGGATCACTGAAGTGTCCAAAGCCAGGCTGGGCTTGGAGCAACCTGGGATAATGGAAGGTGTGGAGCTGGAACAAAATCATCTTTAAAGGTCCTTTCCCACCCAAGCCAGTCTGGAATTCCACGATTCTAAGATTCCAAACCCATCAAACAGCTCAGCCTGGGCATCCCTGAGGGGGTGCAAGGGATGAGTGTATGTGTTGTGCGTCGCTGCCCTCACCCTTGAAACGTGGAGGAAAATCAAAACCTCACAATTATAATAAAGATTTGTAGGGAACAGTATGTTTATATAATAATAATAACGGTATGTTATTTACAGCGCTGTGGACGTATGTGGGGACTAATTGCTTTTTAATAGACATGTGCACTTTTGAGAACGTCTGATCTTTTTTGATTACTCTGATTAATTTCTAGATGCATAGAATTTGACAATAGGTTTATGCATATTCATTTTGTTGATTTTACGTTACAGCTAGTTACACTTGTACTCAGTTTTTTCCAGAAAGTATAGAAAGAATTCTTGGGTCACTCTGCCCTGTTTGTTTTGAGGCCTGAGGAGTTTTTCTTATTTTTTCTTTAGCTGGGACAACTTTGCTAGCGCTGCAGTTACTAGACTAAACATATTTTCCTTATGTTAGCAAGTTCAAAGCGGTACATTTCACTTAAATCTAAATGGATTTCTGTTAAATTTTCACTCTGCATCACCGTTCCACACACAGAGTCCAGTGGGACTCCTGTGAAGGTGAAAAGGCGTCATCTGTGAGGGTCTTCAGGCGGCGGGAAGAGCGCCGATCCCGCCCACACGGCACCGCCGCCATCTTGGCGCGGCGCTGAGGGGAGGCGGGAGGGGCGTGGCCTCCCTGAGGGGAGGGGGCGTGTCCGCAGCGCTCCCGCCCAATCCGCGCGAGGGAGCGGAAAGGTCGCGAGGGGGCTGA